GCAGGCCAGCCCCTTCGTGCTGCGGGCGCGGCGGTCCATGGACAAGAGCGGGATGCCCTGGCACTTGCGCTACCTGGGCCAGCCGGAAATTGGTGACAAGAGCCGCCATGCGCTGGTGCGCAACTGTGTGGACATCGCCACTTCGGACAACCTGACGGACTTTTTGGTGGAGATGGGCTTCCGCATGGACCACGAGTTTGTGGCCAAAGGGCATGTGTTCCGCAAGGGCATCATGAAGATTGTGGTGTACAAGATCTTCCGCATCCTCATGCCAGGGAACACTGAGAGCATTGAGCCGCTTTCCCTCTCCTACCTGGTGGAGCTCAACGTGGTAGCGCCAGCAGGACAGGACGTAGTTTCTGATGACATGAGGAACTTTGCTGAGCAACTGAAGCCTCTTGTGCACCTGGAAAAAATTGACCCCAAAAGGCTAATGTGATTGAGAAGCTGAGCAGTTGAGGCATTGTTTTGTTAGTGTTCCTGTAGAGAGTGCTTTTCTAAAATGCCTTTTGAGGGCAAATCAAAACAAGGAGAGGGGAATAAGGGACTACATATCAGTGTTTTGTCAACTGCAGTTACTGGGTGTTTTTTCCGACAAAAATGGATACTTCTTTAAATTAATGCCATTCAGAACATTGATAAATGTTGATATTGATAGTTTTCCTTCTGTTGGGGAAATAGTTGTTTGAAAGCATATTGCCTAACAATCCAAAAACATTAGACTTGCTGGATTTCATCTTTGTGTACCCATATCACAGTGCTTGCTTGTTTTTCTGATTTATTTTTTTTTTAAGCACCATTATATATCCTATCTCACCATCATGCTTTTTTCTTCTAAGTAATATATGAAGTTAATATCTTTTAATGCAGGAGGTGTTTAAAACAAGTTCCCTGGAACTACATAAAAGAGCAAGTGTACACCTGTTTACAATAGCATAATAAAGCAATTGTATGTATAACAGGAACAGCTAGGACATGAGATACTTTAGTGAAACTGTTTCTGATCGGAAAACAACAGTATCACAATTGCAAGAGGTTATAAAATCTGTTAATGGTGTTCCATCTTTTTCACTGAAGTTGGGCATGGCACCTTAGTTAATGAAAGCTGTAAAGTTAATGCATTTTTTTATTATTGGGCTTCTCACACCTGACATCAAGGTAGAAAATTGACACATTGAACATCTAAGAGCATCATACAGCTGATGATATAGTGATGATTTTGTTTAGCACTTCTCTTGAGAGTTTTCAAATACAGTTCAAACAGAAAAAGGCTGGGGAAAACCAACAAGGATTAAGTTTATTTTAAGTTCCTCAAATTCTTTACAGAAAGCATTTTACCCATCACTGAAATGCACCAACCTGCTGAAGACATTGCCACCCTTTAGTACTACACAACTCTTGATAATGGAAAAGTACAGAAAACACTCCAAAGCTAATGGAAAATGCCTTAGGGAACTTAAAACTTAGAAAACAAGGTCATAACCTGTGTACACTTGACAGGTAGGGTAAATCATTAAATAGGATAACCAAGTAGCTTAGGACAATTTGGAGAACCACTTTGTTTAAGGTACAGGATGTACAGGAACAAGAACAATGATGTATACCAAGCCAAGACTGCAGGTGGTTATGAAGTCAGCGCTACCTCTACGCATGCTCTGAGAGGTCGCTGAAGATACGACCACCTGATGAAGTAGAAGACCACCAACCATGAAAATACCTCAAGATGACTGAGAGGACACCTGTGGACCAGTGAAGAGAGGAGCTGGACTTAAAATTAGCTCTACGAAAAAACGTGCTTATTCACAGTAGTTAGGATGCATATGTGTTAGTATAGGGAATAAAAAGAACCTGTGTGTAACAACTAGCAGGAATCTCAGGTGATTCTGAGAGGCCCCTGGCGCTGTATTAAAGAATACCAACTTGAACCTCTTATGCGTCTTTAAGTTTTGTTTTAGGTCACCTCTCTGGAAATCAATATAACAACTAGGCAAAGACCACTGCCACAGAAAGCTTCCAGAAGAGCCTTTTTAAGGCAACAGCTACATTCTCACCGCTGGAGCTTGGCGAAGGTAAGCCATGACAATTGGATTGGTGCTGAGTACAGTGTCTCAGGTGTTTCACTGGTGCAGGCTCTGCCCAAGGAGCGTGGTGACAACCCAGTGCTGAACACCGGGTGCTGGAGAACGCCATGAGGTTGAACAGACAGCGGCTGTTCACTGGGGCACTCGCAATGGGGTGAGCTGTGCGACTGCTTATCACCTGGACTTGAAATGTTTTCTGGAGTGTGCAGACACACCAACAGTTTGACTTGCCCCATTAAGGGATGACATACGCTGCTGCAGGGCATAACTTCCCCAGGGTTGGGGGCAGGTCCCAGGGCTCTGTACCCAGAGCCAAACTTGCTGGGTTGCTCCACAATTCAGTGGCAATCCCAGCACAGCCAGGGGCATCCTCAGGGCTGTTTTCATATCCTGCCACTGTAACTGGTTAGGAATTGCTTGCCAGGGACTGTCACAAACCATGGCTTGTCTCTTGGGACACAATTTTAGAAAGAAGTCCCATGGATCAAAAAAAGTTGGACATTGTGTCAGCTTTTCAGAGGGTACATGGTTTTAAGTATGAAGACACACAGCAAACAGTAGGTATGGATGTCCTTCCCACTGCATCTGAAAGGAGCTCACTTAGTAGTTAACCTTCCAAGTTTCTTTCTAAGCAGATGAGCAAACAAATCACAAAGTGTTGATGTGAATATAATGGTGATAGAAAGAAAAATCCCACATGGAATTTCAGGCAAACCAGCTCAAGCAGAAGGAGACTGAATGGAAAGCTCCTAATTGAAGTTTTTACAGATTACAGTGATAATAGGTCTGACTTTTACTTGGTCTGAGTTCTGAGAAACAAAAGCAATCACTTAAAAGAGTTATCTTTAAGGAGAATTAGTTTAAACCTTAAAAATTGGAACAATCCACATTGCCAGCCTTCCTTCTAGCTAATAGTCTACGCATAGAAGAGACAGATGTGCAGAGAAAAATGCTTTCTGCATCCATCAGTGGTTACAGCTGAAGAAAAACTGGCACTTTCAGGTACTCAGTGCTCAAAGTGCATCCCTTTTATCTAATGAAATACACTTTTCTCCTCCTATGAAACTTAGCTTTATAGCTGGAGACTAAAGATGATAGCAATATGATTAGAAATACTTAGGTCACAATAACCCCATGCAGCGCTATAGGCT